GCAGCCTGTACTTTTTAATAAAAACAGATTTTTAACAGCGTTGATGTATTTGTGATCATATTGTGTGACCTGGTTGTACTTACACACTAGGTGTACTGTTCTCTCTCTGTGTTGTACTGTCTCAGTGTGAACATAGATTAAACAGCCAGCCAAACTCTTTTGAGAGCCAGGGAATGAGCAGCCATGCTCCTTTATTGACTTATTTGCAGTCCACTGACATTCAAACAGAGTGAAACTATAAAAAATAAGTTACAAGGTACTTAATGATCTCATACATGCAAGTGTAACATACACAGATTAACACATTAGGACCGCTTAGTGTAAACAAGGTAAAAAATAGCTAATGCTAGCTGTGCAATAAGCATGTATACAGGCTAGTATGGCTAACGCTAGCATGTATGCTAACTCTACCGTGTAGGCCTATGCTAACGCAGGGCTGCCAACACTCACGCATTGAGCGTGAGAGTCACGCAATTAACCCATATCTCACACACTCAAGCCACACTTGCCTTTCCTCACGCTAAGTTTTCGTCCAAAATAAATGCATATAAGTATACAAATAAAGTGAAGGAACAGCAAACCGAGCAGTTTACGAAATGAGACGGTCTTCTGGCTTAGTTCTGTAAAGTTGGAACGATATTGCAAGATTCTGATTTCACGGATCAATAACTCATGAACAAAACGTTATTCAGACACAAATGACGTCTCCTAAGTACCGTGGTAAGGTTGACAACGAACTACAATCACATTTTGATTAAAAAAAGCCAATACGCGCCGTCCTCCGAGCTGGACATATTACATTGGTCTCTAATCGCAGCCGGAGAAGAAACGAGTGCTCAGGGACCGTCTGCAAAGTGCAACTCCGAAAAAAGAAAATACAATGACTGGATGTGTCAGAACTTTCTCCAATTAAACAAAGATAAAACTGAGGTAATGGTTTTTGGAGCCAAGGCAGAACGTATAAAAGTTAGCGCTGAGCTTCAGTCTGCAATGTTCAAAACAACAGATAAAGCCATAAATCTAGGTGTAGTCATGGACTCTGACCTGAGTTTCAACAGTCACATTAAAACAATTACTAAATCAGCCTACCTAAAGAATATATCTAGGATTATTATTACATGTTAGACGCTTTTATCCAAAGCGACTTACATACTCAATACTGTGGGCAATCCCCACAGGAGCAATTTGGGGTGAAGTGTCTTGCCCAGGGACACAACGACATGCTGACTGCAGTGGGGTTTGAACCTGTGACCCCCTGGTCCCAACACCAAGGCCATGGTCCCAACACCAAGGCTCTATCCACTGCACCACATCACGCCACACGGATTAAAAGACTAATGTCACAGCAGGATTTGGAAAAACTTGTCCATGCTTTTATCTTCAGTAGACTGGACTACTGCAATGGTGTCTTTACAGGTCTCACTAAAAAATCTATTAGGAAGCTGCAGCTGATTCAGAACGCTGCTGCTCGAGTCCTCACTAACACTAAGAAAGTGGATCACATCACTCCAGTTCTGAAGTCTTTACACTGGCTTCCTGTGTGTCAAAGAATATATTTCAAAATACTGCTGCTGGTTTATAAAGCACTGAATGGTTTAGGCCCAAAATACATTTCTGACCTCCTGCTAAATTATGAACCATCCAGATCTCTCAGGTCTTCAGGGACTGGTCAGCTTTCTGTCCCCAGAGTCAGAACTAAACATGGTAAAGCAGCATTCAGTTATTATGCTCCAAATATCTGGAACAAACTCCCAGAAACCTGCAGGTCCGCTGCAACTCTGACTACTTTTAAATCCAGGCTGAAGACTTATCTTTTTGTCGCTGCTTTTAATTGAAACTGAGCCGTTGTGTTCATCGGTAAAGTGGAACTTCTGTGTGAACTATTCATATCTTAAACTGCACTGTAACTTTTTATTCATGTACCTTTTATTCATGTATTTTTTCTTTTAATGTTTCTTTTATTATCTTTTACTGTTTTTAAATGCCTTTGTCTGAATGTCTTTCATTTTTGTAAAGCACCTTGAATTGCCTTGTGTTGAAAGGTGCTATATAAATAAACTTGCCTTGCTGTGCCTTACAATAATATTCAATCACTATTATACAGCTTATTACTACCAAACTCACTACACACATCAATAGTCTCCTGGTGGTCATACTCAACCCAGTCTCATGGCATTTCGTGTTCACCAACACGATTTCCCCCTTTTTTTCGTGTTGCACAGCACGATTTTAAAAGCAATGTATTTCTACTGGTAATGACGCTCATGGAAGCACGGCATTCGTTTGTGTCGGCTGCCCTTAAAGGCAATGTGAGCGTCCATTCTCATTGGATAACGGAGAATTAAGTATGGACCCGTTCAAATCCAGTTTTGGACAGTCTGCCGTGGTTCCATCCCATTTCAAGTGCTGTTCGAGGCTCGGCGTAACCCTCGGAGCACACTCTCCAATCACAGAGCTTGAGGACTATCACTGGGTTTGTCAAACAGAGCACATGGTGTAGTCCAAACGATAGCTGGGGATTCTGGGTAGTGTAGTGTCTTCTGCCATCCTTTACTCCGAAAAAACATTTGTTTCTCCGAATCGAAGGGGAAAAATACAAAAGCATTGCACACAATTTAAACCAATCAATGTTGTGTAATTAACAAGGATAATCTGGTGTTTTTTAGTCGATGAGTAGTGCAGATATCACTGTAAAATCAATCGACAGTAAGGGGAATACTTACTTCCGGGTGTACAATTCTCCGTTATCCAATGAGAATGGACCCCCCCCCCCACTTATAAAATAGCACTTTACCTCTGCTTACACCTATATGCAATTATGCTGTGAGCTGATTATCGAGCTTTCATTTAACGCTAGCGCGAATGCTAATGAAAATGCTAGCGCGAATGCTAACGCATTTTCTCATTGTGTTTAACATCTCCACACATGGGCGTAATTTCCACTGGGGACAGGGGGGACATGTCCCCCTCACTTTTCAAAATCCCATTTGTGTCCCCCCCACTTTTTAAATGTGTTTATTATTTTTTAGAGGAGTTTATCCATGATGTGTTATTGGTTGTGAGCATATTCTAATGGATTTTTGATTATTGAAATATATACAGTTCTGTTTCATATGAGTGTTTAGAACTGTATCCATACATCTCTTAATTTGTGCACCAGATTGATGCATTCAACTTCAATGTAAAGAAACAAATCTTCCCGGGGTGCATGACCCCCCTAGAGGATGTGAGGTCATCACAAATAAAACAGGTTCACATGGATAGGATACTAGATAAGTGTGCACACTCATTATATACACTACACATTTTTATTGGATTTGTTAACACTATAGTCCCCAATATATTTGTAGAAAGGCAGGAAATGGAATTAAATTGAGAAAATGTTTCATTGCGGAATGTGGAGGACCCCCTGTTTTGTGTCCCCCCCACTTCTCAAACCAAAGTTACACCCTTGTCTCCACATGTCATCACATACACACAATACATGTTACTAATCCTTACAGTGTAAGTGTAAGGCTCACACTTACACTTACAGTCATTGCTTTCTGACAGACTTGACCCTTTTACTCTTCAGGTTGCATAGGGAAAATGAGTTGCAGTCTACTCATGGATGTCTACTGCCATGCTATTCAGTTCACTTTCTTCTACTTCCTGTACCCGGTTTCCTGTCTAACCTTCAGTACACATTTTACAAAAATAGAAATGTGCAAATATTTAACATACAGGTCAATATCACCTTGCTATTGGTAGCTGAACTGTCAATACCCCAAAACATATTCTTAGATATAAATACCTAATTTTGAATGATTTAGACACAATTAACACTTATAGTTTCATGTCTTGTTACAAAGAATAGATCATTGTTAAGTGTTATTATCGGAGAAGTACTATTCTTGTGGTACTACTGCCGTATTAGGCCCATATTGAGCAGCGCATATTAAGCCCAAAACTCATGTACAACAACTTCCTTACTTGCAATAAATAAGCACTAATTAGAGGGTTATTGAGGAAAAACTCTCAACTATTACTTATAGAATATGGTCATGTAGAATAACGCATTAATAAGTGTTTTATAATGACTAATAAAGACCCAATATCCTGCTAATATGCATGTTAATTAACAACTAGTTGATGGTTAATTTGTGTACCTTAATATAAAGTGTTACCATATTTGGTATATCACTCCATGACACTGACATGGTTTTGACATTGAAAGTGGGGAAAACATTTATTTTGTATCCTTTTAAAACTTCAACAGAAAATGTGAGGACTGTTTTTAATTAAAATTGCACAAGCTTTTTCTAGAGCTGCATTTTAAACCGGAATCAGATTTCAGACGGAAAGACATAGCACTTATACACATCTGAGCAAACAGCAGACCAGAATGCCATGCTTTCACAAATCGTAGAGATTGCAACAATGTATTTACAAAATATTTGGATAGCTGTAAGGGGTGTGCGTTTTTTGATATTGGTTTAATTCCAACTTTATTCTGGATTCAACACATAGGGGGGCAAATACCTGGATCTTTTCTGGTCCACTCTTCCTTGGTTTGTCAGATTATTGCTTCCGAAGTATACTATCGGCTGAAACAAAACTGTTTACACAAAAGACAGACCAAAACATTTTTCATGCTAAACTTAAAAAATTCAATTCTCAGTGGCTTAGAAAGATGAGAGAAGAAAAAATAAGAAGACACGTTTGTTATGTGAATATTGTTGGTAGGACTACACCATGTGCTTTTTATTTCATACAAACTTACAAAATATAATGTAGATAAAATCACACTGTAAATGGGTGTTTTTTCAACAAATCACTCAAGGGTACTGTTCACAATGGCAAATAACACACTCATTCTTTGACAGTTGGAGAGAGGTAGAAGTGCATTCAGTAATTTTAGTAGCAGTTAGTAAACAACACTGTAAATTAGAATGATCTACATCCCAAATTCAAAACATCTTAAAACGTTTTTTAAGATTTATTGAAATGCTAGTTTTACTTTAGTGGTACATATCACGTGTGGGTGAGATGGGCAACACACTGCGGCGGTAGGACGGCCCGATGGGGCTCATCCTCTCATGGTTGAAGCTCTCCACCTTTCCAATCTGTCGCAGATAGAAGAGCAGAGTGAGCTTTCGGGTCATGGTACGGAGCGCCAGAAAGGAGGTCAGGATCTGGGCGAGGAGGAAGAGGAGGTAGAGGGAGTGGACAGCTCTCTCCAGAGGCAGGATGATAATTCCTTCATCGGTGAGGAAGAACAGCAGCACTGGCAGCTGGAACATAAAAGACAGAATCCAGAAGGCTGCCAGCTCTGGCACCTGATGACAGGGAGGGAGGGAGGAGGAGAGATAGGATATGTGTTGGTGGATGGAGGCGATGCAGAGATAGAGCAGTCAGGCATTAGATGCATCAGTTGCAACCACATGAGACCACACACACACACACACACACATACCATGTATACATCACTTCAGGGGACATTACATTGACTTACATGTATTTCCTGGAGACTTATCCTAAACTTAACCATAACCAACACATGCCTAACCCTAACCCTTACCCTAACCCTAATCCTAAACCTAACCAAGTCTTCACCCTACAATTTGTCCCCATAAGGGAGGCGAGTCCCCACACGTGACTGTGTAAACAGATTTAGGTCTCCACAAGTATAGTAATGCTAGGCCACACACACACACACACACACACACACACACACACACACACACACACACACACACACACACACACACACACACACACGTAATAGACAGTGGTAGCTGAGAGCTGATTGTTTACACACGCGGGGAGAATACTTAAGAAGCCACTTCCTCCGAATGTGTTATTCAGGAGACAGGTCTATGATAAAAGAGCTGTGCGTTGTGATACAGAGAGGAAGTTGCTTTGAATTACCTTTTCTTTAAGGTTGCCAATGTAGCCCAGATAAAGTCGGACCACTTCAACGACTGTGAGGAGGATCACCCCGGTTATGAGAAGAGCCTGGTAGTACCCGGGAAGATAATAGAACTGGAAATAAAGCAGAGCTGCAATGTCAGGAAGATGTGAAAACACCTTTTTGACTTGCAGTTCAAGGACTTAAAACAAAGCACTATTCGGCTGGCAAACAATCCCATAAAACACTTATACAGTATGTGTAGTTGCTTTCACCTTCAAAGTTTTCCAATTTTACATGCCGGACATAATAAATGGTTTCAATTTAAAACTTCTGTTACTTTTAAAAGCATCCCCAGTATTTGTTATTGTTTTTGTTTGCTTGTATGCTTTGGCATGGATACATGTCTTTCGGTGAAGCAGGAATCGCTCTCAGTAATCAGAAAAACGCTTGAGTTTACAATGTTTCTCCATATGGCACTAGTGATGCAACATGACATCAAATCTGTACAATGAGCGAGTTTATGGAGAGCCCTTTCATTATTTAATCAGTAGCAATAATAGCTATTGAAGTTATCCACAATGGCTTTTCTTCTAGTTAGAATACAAAGTAAACATATCAATAATTGACAGGAAGCAATTTTAATTATATATCTTAAATGATTTTCCTTCCAATACTTCATTACTACTTGTGAAAACTTTTATTGTAGATAATCTATTAATTGTAATTAGTAAATGTTTACCATTGACTTCCATTCAAACTCAACAACAGTTTCTTCTTACAACTTCTTTTCAATTCCTGGTTTCAGTTTTAGTCAGAGGATGGAGGAAATCTACAAGGAAAAAATGTATCTAAGGATAAATTGTGAATAATCTCATTGTTACAGATTGAGTTGATTGAATGACTCCCCTTTAAATGTTTTATCAACAATTAGTGTTATAATTAGTATTGCTTCCCAACCACCCAACTTGCCTTTACTTCCAACATGAACACAGAAGAAAACCACCAACAGGGGAAATAAAACAGATTGAAGTACAGCAGCATCTGCAGGGGGAGGTGAGAGACCAGCTCGTTGACCACTGCGTGAAGAATAACAACAGGATCAACATAAGCAATATATTTCATTACAACCACAATTTGTTTTATATTAATTGCACCATTGCATAGTATCTTCCACAGTTTAGATTCCAGGGGTTAGCCAATATAGGTGTACAGAAGGACAAAACTATGTTTAAAGTGAAAAGCGTGACCAGGGGTTTAATGCCAGTAGGCAGCCTGTGTCAGCTGTAGATCAGGCCAGTAAAGGGTTTGTGACTTTTTTAAATGACATAAGAAACCAAAAAGTCCAAAACATACAGCACATTAAAAACTGGAGGGCCATCATTTAAAAAGTGAATACAAAATCTTATGTATGTAATCTTGGACTAGATTTGAAACAAGCGGTCAAAACATCAGTATTGGTGAAAAACAGGTTTTTACTCTTTCTAGTGCTAAGCCAACTAAAGCTATTTCTTTGTGAGTAGTGTTCACAATGTTTTGTCTATCCCTCACAGAGACATGATATTAGATTTTATTTCACTAACACATATTTCCATATTTTCCACATATTGCATCACTATAATGTGATGTAATGTATTCTAAAAGGATATAGTATATTGCACAGTAGTACACTATTTGGTAACAGATAGAAGCAGTAACCCACCCGAAGCGTCCTCCTGCTCCCTGGAGAAATCGCTGTCTGCTGTTCTGTTGTTAGTAAACACAGAGCCTCCCATGTAGGCCAGACCCATCTGCAGGGTCTCGGGAACAGGTGAGTAAAACACAGGCATTGTGGGTAGAGCTGGGAACCATGACAGAGCCAAGAAATCAGGAGGCAAAACTGTGTTTGTGTTGCAGTGCCAATCCCTGTTGTATTAAGTCACAGACAGTACACAAATGGATGAAGGCACATAAATGGACACACAAGACACATGCTGGCAGACTCCACTGCTAATCAGATTATAGCGGGGGAGGCGGGTTGAGGATTAGGCTGAGACAGCAGCATGGCACTTTGTTAGTAAGTCAGTAAGTGGCCGTTTATGATGCACAACAAAGTTGTTAATCAAAGTAGAGTATTCAACATTTATTTAAGCTTTACGAAGTCAAATATGGACTGAATTGAATTACAGAACAGTGTACATTCATAGAAAAAAGGAAATCTTCCTTAATTGTGCATCCGTTCTACTATAATAATTGATCATACCTAAAACTTGTATTCATTCATAGATCCATTTTCAGAAATGCAACCCTTTAAATATGAGTATGCTTGCAAAATTCAACTGTTTTCTTACTGAAAAAACAAATACAAAATGTATACATTTCTGTATAATATATGATAGGATTTTCTTGTTTGGAATAATGGTAAAACATTGATTATAAGATGCATTTGTATTGTGTGTGCAGCATTAGAGAATGCGTTACCCCCATAGTGGAAACATGGAAAAATGTATACATTTTGTAGAAAATAGAAAAAAACTAAAAATGTGAATCCAGGGCTCCTGATTAAAAGCCAGATATTGAGAAGCTTTATTTTAATGCTGGCTGCGGGATAATTTCTTATTTTAAATTAGTTTAAATGGAGACACTTTTGTCCTTAAGGGTCTGGGTGTCTGTATTTTAGCTAGACAATGTATAAAATACTTTTTATAGGAGTTGAGGTTATGCAATAACACAGCCAAAATAATAAAAAAAACATCAAACTGAAAAGAAAAATGTTTTCCCTAGTGACGCACAAGGTACACAAGCTTTCCAGGTGACTAGTAGCCTAACAGGGACCTCGGGCACAATCAATGACTCAATCCACTCCATCTTTTTTAATAATTTGTATTTAAGGCATATAAACTGAGTAACACAGCGATGACTAACACGCTGCACACCGCACCGGGCCAGCAGGTCCTCGGAATGGTGCCTGGCTTATCGTTTTAGCCTTGGGGCCCCACTCGTCATTAATGTGACCCGGGTGCAGTGGCAGCGTTTGGCCACAAGGTGTCATCACAGCTCGTCCTTGGGGGGGCGCAGGGGGAACTGCTGGAACTCCTCTGGCACCTCTTCCCCTTTCTGGGTCCTCTTGTAGAAACCTAGTGAGTCCAACAGGCTGCTGATCTCCTCTGCCTTCATTTCCTTCACAGGAACAGTCTGACGTGTCGGGAAGAAAACACATTTGGACACATGGTGAAAGGTTTAAAAGTAGTAATAGAGTGTTAATGAGATGCATGCAGAGAAGGATGTGTTAGCAGACATGCAGTATGTTCATATTCAAATAATTGATTCCTTCATACTGTTGATATAGAGGTCTCTCCTGCACATTTATTTTCATTTACATTTTTCAACAATTTAGTGTCTGAAATAAATCTTCATATAAAGTCAAATTACAGTCTCAGAGGGCGCCCACAATATGAAACTAAAATGGAACAATGAACATTAGAATATGAATGTGACACAAGAAAAACTCCTACATAATTGGAGGAAAATAATGTGTGAGAGCTAAAGGAAGCATATCCACAGTTTACTTTTAAATCACAGCAGTGGGTTATTTTTGTGCATGTAGATAAGGATAAGGCTATATATAACTGCTATTGTCTAATGCTGGCCTGAATGCAGATTTAGTGGCTTTTCTAAACTGCAAAAAGAAAAAAACACTAGGAAACATTACAAAGTTGTAATTTCAGGGCATAAAAATGCTAAAATTCAAGTCAGCAACTCACCACATACTGTAAACACTTTATATATTTTGTTACTCTTCCACTTTCTTGCCATCTGTTTTTTTGTGTAACTCAGTCTTGCATTTTCAAACACATTGGGTCAGTGTGACTTGGTATCTGACAGACGATCTGAGTCTTTAAACTTCCCTGCATGAATCTGTCCTGACATCCTGGAACTCCCGGGATAAGCCGCATCAAAAGACGGATGTGTAAAAGATCCCTGAACTCACATCTCACCTTTACAACCTCGTCTTTTTGGTTATAGAATATCAGATGGGGATTCTTCTCCTCCGATGAATCGTATTCCAAGTTGTGGCTACACAGGAAAGAAGGGATCAAGGGAAACAACAGGTCGGCAGTGTTGGGAAGAATAAAAAGCATCCATCTGTTTTGCTATTTTTGAGCTTACTCAACATGATTTTAACTTGGAAGAGTTTGGAAAGCTGGCACTGGACTTTGCAACTTGCTAAAAACATGGTTTTGTTCATAAAGGAGGTCATGAGAACATCTGTGGTGTTTTTCTTTTAAAAGGTCACGTCTGAACACACAGCCTTGAGGAACTGAAAATAACAAGGATACTATAAAGCCCAGCGCTCCAGAAGAAAATGATGGAGCTCGGGCATTTTCTTTATGCCTCATCCGACCACACTGGGAGCCTGTAGGGACGAACACAGACAGATGTTAAAGCAGCATGACATAAAGCATTGTGCACGCTTCGTTCTTTGATCTAAGGTGCCAGAGATATATATATATATACATATGTATTTCAGCAGAATGCATACCGACATGAGAGCACATGGCTTTTCCCTTTTTAAATGTGCTGCTCAATTTTAAGATTGTGTTGATTGCTCCAATAAGTCTTATTTCCGATAATGGAAAACAAAACATCCAAAATACTCAATTAAGTGTTTATTCTACTTCACATTGTATATTTGTGTCTGTAGAATAGATACCTTATTTGCATACTTTAACATAACTCTCCAGAAAACTGAACATGTAATTAGTCAACTAGGGAAGTTAGGGTTAGGGTTAGGGTTACACTGAATGATGACATTTCTTGCCAAATTCATTGAATTCAACAATACATATCTTGGAGATTTTCTCAAACTTGGAGCCAAATATCTCCTCCTTAGTTGTTTTTACATATCCCAACCATCCAGTTTTTTAAATGATCACACATAACTTAATTTATAGAACATATTGCTTATTTATTGTGACCTCTGTCTTCTTTCTATGTCTTTGTTTACTGTCAGACCTTCTCATCCTTGCACCAATATCACAACATTCTGAACATAGACATGGCAAGATATCAGCATGAAGGTTTTTTGGATATAGCCCAGGATTTCCACATGTACTCACCAGCAGTTTACCTCTGGCTATATCAAGCTGTTCTTCAACCTCTGTGTTGTTGTTAGTGTCTGAAGCCCTGACAGCCAGGACAAGCGTGATCACTAAGAAGGCCCACATTTTTTAATGACAAATAAGTATCCTTCGGTGCTTTTGCCTAAGTTATTACCAACAATAACTAACCCTGTAATCCACTTGGACAGTTATCAGGGTGGACAAGACCATAGCACATTCCTGTAGGGGAGCAGTGCCCTCATGTGTTAGATATTTCTTACTGTTTAATGTTGGTTTTCTATCAGAAACACTAAATGATCCAAATGGTGGGCCACTGGTAAGCCATAATGCTATTTTGCTGCAGTTTAATTTGTAAGGATGTTTTGGAAATGTCTAAAGACCTACGGAGGCCCCCCGGCTTTAAAGTTGATAGTTTCTTCCACATCAGATGTTACTGGGAGTCCACAGACACCTCAGAACATCTGCGCTCTTATCACTTTTTCCCATTCAGTTCACTTGCAGGTGGTTGATGGCCAATAAGCGCCAGCCACACTCTCATAGCTGCTGGGAAGCTAAGACGAGATTAAGTTGTACAGGTGTCCTTAAGGAAATACATCACTTGTTCTCATTTGTCACTTTAATTGAAAATATGTTATTTAAGAAACGTTTCTTAACTTCCGAACAACATTTAAAAGTATGTTGATCCCGAGGTATTTGTTTTTTTTTGACTGGTGGTGATGCCAAAATCCCAAATGATACCAAAGGTGAAATAAACATGTTACATGTATAATTTAGGAACATGTAATATTCACAAATGTAAAACAATAATATCATCTTATCCAAACAAAGTATGAGAAACTGCCACTCATATAAGTCGTATTAAAACATTTTATAGTTATATTTTGTTTTGTAGCCTAGACTTTTCAATCTTACACGAAAATTATGCTTTTTCCAAACAAAATGTAAATAAGAAGATACTCTCTCTACTATTATGGCCATTAACCTACATACAAATGGGGAACAGGGGAAAGAATCTTGGCAGGCTCAGTAACAATTAATTTGCATATAGCTGTAAATCCAACTAGTATGTTTGTTTAATTCATACAGAGCAATAAAAACAACATTAGTTTATTTTGCCAGGCCCTTAACGCTGTCCAAAAAAGCAGCAAAACAGCATACAGTATCTCAACTATTATTAACATTTTTTGAATGATATTATCTGCCTGCCCTGCATTGTTCAGGTTATTTTCCAAAATGTTTATCTTATGACAAGTTTTTCTATTGCATAATGCAGATCCTGAAGTAAAACATCAGCCACTATGAAACTGGCCACCCACCAGTGCAATGAGTTGGAGTTGCATGAGAAGAAATGTTCAATCCCATTAAGTATTGGTGTATGAAATCTGAACTCAGAAAAACACTGCCCATTTGCACTCTTTCAACACCCTAGGATAGGAAACATCTATCTCCCTCAAAACTACTCTTCGAAAGGCTTTTCAATTCTCTAATGTCCCCTCCTCGACTCCCTTTCTCGACTCCTATCCTCGTGTCTTAGTCCCGCCCACAGGAGATGCGAGCGGAGGAGTCGAGGAGGAGAACCGAGGAGAGAGGAGTGGAAGCAGCAGGCGTTTAGAGAAATGACATGTCCTTCCGGACATGGCGCGCTGAAATCCATTTCCGGAGGACCGAGGAGTCGAGGAGTCGAGGAGGTTGAAATTAGAGAATTGAGAAGCCTTCTATGTTGTAAATAACAAGCAAATTATGTGCATCAGGTCAACACAAGAGGGCAGCAGCACCCTCATGTAGACTTTACGGCAGTTTGGCGGGTAAAATGTACTTCCAAATCCTAGCCACAGACAATTATGTTTCCAACAAAAATAAACCATTCTTGCCTGGAATGCTGAAGCAAAACCATCTCTCTGTTTATATCTTTTCCAGACACAGAGCTCTGCAGCTTACAGCCTCCTGTTGTACTGTTTGAGATTATGTGTCAAATGGCTGTAAAACAGTCCCTATTTTAACAAGGTCTCCTCCCCTCTGCAGCCATCGTAAATCTATGAGCCTGTACACTTCTCTTTCTGGAGTTTATATCTTTGTGTTTGAACGTTCCACTCTTGTTTCCCTCAATGTCTGAAGTAACTAAAAGAGTCGATGCAGAGAAAGAAAGTTGATGAGAGAGGGTAGGTAACACAATGAGCAGTGGGGGTGGGGTGACTCCTCAGTCTATAAGTGTGGATGCATACCATATGTTCACATTCAGCATGTTTCAGTTTACATCATGAGGCGCATGCCAAAAAGGGGATGTTGTTATTATTAATGTGCTGACAAAGGGGAAAACGCAGCCATTTCTAACCAGAGATTTAAAGAAAGAGACTCATGGACGATGAAGACGTTTACAAAATCCGTAATGAGCAACTTTTTCCAGTAGGAGTTTTGCAAATTGCAACACTTGCAGCTGGCAAAAGATCAAACGCTTAAACACCTCACTGTAATCCTGCCTCCCTCGGAGAGCTTGTTATATAGACGCACACACTTCCTGTTTCTCCAAAGCACCGGATGCTGCCTTCCAGCCAGTAGGACAATTTGTGTGTCTGCTTAGAGTCTTCAGTGAGAAATATTTGACTCTGAAGTCTTATTTCTCTGTGCTTTAGAGGGGACATGTATTCCTAAGGATGACCAAGGGAGATGAATACAAAATCTAACTTTGTGCATAAACATAAACACAGCGTGTGTGTGAGTGTGTGTGTGTGTGTGTGTGTGTGTGTGTGTGTGTGTGTGTGTGTGTGTGTGTGTGTGTGTGTGTGTGTGTGTGTGTGTGTGTGTGTGTGTGTGTGTGTGTGTGTGTGTGTGTGTGTGTGTGTGTGTTTATCTGTCTGGAGCCTTCGGGGCATCTTGAGGGGAAGCCTGCTGCCTGTCTGCCTGCTGCGCTCCAGTCTGCTTATAAAGAAGAGAGGCAGTGTTGAAAGGAGTGAGGGCCATGTGGAGGGCTTCATTCAATACAATGCCAGTGTGCTGCACTGTGTATTGTGCAGTAAGTGGACATAACCTCATGGAGGTTCAGGCTCGAGGCACAAAACTGTATTTCCTCCACTGTGAAACTAAGTTTATTCAGCTCAATACATAACACAACATGGCATCTGGTTAAGAAAACTCCAAACTTCCTGTGTGTTCCTTGTTTTCCTCTCCTATAATGCAAAATAGAAATAGAAAGATGTTTTTTTTATCATTTTATTGTCATGTTGTTGCTGTCTAGATTGTGATTATGATCTTAACAAAGTGATAACGAATAGTTTAAATTACAATAATATTGGCAGTTGACAAAGTAATACAAAAAGGGGTAATTGGGTAAAATGTCTATATCCTAACACTAACGTAAGCAAGTTAACAGCTCATGGAGGAAACAACAACGCCCTAAGTATGAATTAGCTGTTAACCAAAAAGAAGTGTCTCCAATTTTGCCCCACACAGGGAGGCTGCATAAGCACCTTAAGAAATGACCTTATTTTTACATTGTGATATTAGTACGGAAATAGTTCAGCCTGGTCTCACTCCCAGGGTGACAAATACCAATGCTTGGGCAGTGGTCATTAGCATCTTGATACCGACACACAAGACCCCCTTTAGCATCGGTATGAGATGCACTGTCTTTCAAGTAACTTCATGTTATTTCAACCAACCCTAAACAAGAAAGAAACTAATAGTGATTTCAAAGCACAGTCCAACAGTTGACTCCAACTTAGCATACCAAAAATCACCCAAAAAATGGTGATTGTAATATCTCTGTCTAAGTGATAAAGTGCTTTCTGCGGATTAAAAAATGTTAGTGGCTCAGTTTTTCCTTCTACTTTTAATGAAGAAAGCATTTTGATGTGCTTTGCATACACAGGTGGGTCTGTAGGAAATGATTTTACATTGATGTTCTAAGCACCATCTGGCTTGTTAAAGCCCATTTTGGTTGACCTCAAACATTATTGACAGAAAATGCAAAAATACCTCAAATAAGTGGCAACAGTGCCTGAATTCTGTCAAATTAAGGATATTGGGTGTTTTATAATTTCGCTCTTCGCTGTGTAGTATTTAAAAATGATGAAAGGAAAAAAGAGGAATGATGTGAAGACTGCTTGTGCACACTTGTGTGGCCTGTGTCCCCTCTGTCTAACAATCTGGTTTCAGGCACTTTTCTAACACGTAGTCACACTGCTGAAAGGTCCTGTAAATAATTGATTCCTCACACTCTCTGTGTCGGTATTCGGACCCTGATCTCTGACCTCTGAGAGGGGGGCTAATCAAAAGAGAATTTCCCAGCTGAGGTCAAATAAGTATCACATTGCTGAAGCTACAACAAACGCAATACTTGTCTTTTGTAGGTCACAAAGCAGAGCCACAACAATATTTGGCAACAAAGGCTCACTTTTAAGAATACAGCAATGACAGCTTGGTACTCTTGACACAAATTAAAAATAATTTCACCAACATGTGTTTGCATATTTAAATTTGGGAAGAGGATAAGAAGAAGAAGAACAATGGAGTGCAGATTTACAGAACCTCAGTCCAATGGTTTATTTATTGGAGTAAATAAAAGTGTCAGAGCTGAGAAAAGAATCTGCACATGAATTGCAAAAACAGAATCTGAATTGTGGGAACTGAATGTGGAAGTCTATAGAGAAGGATTGGAGTATAAGTGGGAATGGGGCGAGGGTGGCGGAGGGATTTGCACTGATGGATGTCCATTTGCTGGCCACATTATAGGAGCCGGGGGGCAAGCAGACAGCAACTGCTGCTCCCCTCCCTCTAATCTGTGTGTGGGTAATCAGAAACACATGGCTCCCCATAATGGCTCCAGTGTTGTCCTGTGAAGTAGAACGGGGCTGTGAGGGTCGGGTACACACCAGCACACAGCCAGGGTGACGGTAAATATACAGCTCACACTTCACATGACAGTGCACTGCAACCACATACAGTAAAATACATCCTGGCACCAAAATACATGTAAAGGGAACTCGTTTTTTTTCAGGCTGTTATCATAGAAGATTGTGTAAAGGTTGTCCTGAGCAGTCCTGACTCCTGAGTCACTAAGACGTGATAAAGCAAATCCTATGCGGTTTTAAGAACATTGAAAAGTTGCTGCAGGCTGAAGGCAAGTTACTCTGCAACGGCATGTG